GAAAAATAATTAACATAATTAGTGTCCGTACATAGATGAATATCATTAATTATTAATGATAACACATAATTAAGTTAAACTGAGGAAATTTGTTATTTGAGAAGTGTGTGTCAAACTGGTAGCCCTTCACATTAATCGGTACCCAAGAAGTAGCTCTCACTTTCAAAAAGGTTGGTGACCCCTGCTTTAGGTATTGATATACATTATAGGTATAACCATGTATACGTTTAGTTCTTTACACAAGCTATTTCATATGCAAAGTACATAAGTAGCAAAATGCTGTTTACCCCAGATCTGTTGCCAAGTAACATCATAAGCAACAGAAAAATGAAGGCGACACCCATAGTTTCCTATGTTGAAATGCATACATTTAGAAGATTAAAAAGCATGTTTACAGGCTGGTACAAACTGATTTGAGTTCCCTTCTTTCACAACAACTCAAAAGAGGGTAAAGAGGTAGGCTTTAATAACTCATCCACCTTGATGCTGTGGTGTGCCTCACATTTTCTAACTGGAGTTAATGAACTGGACCTCTTCACTGTATCTATGTTACTCTATGCCCTTTGGATCATTTTAATGGATCATTTGACAAATATAAGGGCTCACTGAGTTACGCAGCCAAGCCAATAAGCTTGTGCTGTTTTGTTAGACTGCTATTACTCTGCTACTAAACAGTAATAAGCTGACGTGTACGCCAAATATGACTTCCTACACCAAATGTTAGCATAAAGACTTCAACTCTGAAAGTCGAAAACAAGTGGGTGACATAGCAGTGACTACATCCATCTTTTATAGCATCTATGGTTATCTAATGCAGCAGATACAGAGAAAGAGACAGAGGTAAGCTGGAACTTTACCCAATGTGACTTTTTGGCTAAAAATACACCAGTGCTGTTTCCTGCGAATGGTCAGTGATGGTCAATCAACCAAAATATAAAGAATGCAGTGGTAAGCAAGAGATAAGAGGCAGATAAGAGGTGACGAGCAAATCATCGAGTACATTATTTAAAAACAACAACACACAGCAAGTTGCTAACTGTGAAGCATTCTGGCACAGACTTTCAGTCACAAGTGAAGAAGGCTGTTAAGCTGTCTGAAAATAATAAAGTTCAGGGTCAGAATTAATTGAGCAATTTCACATTTGCATTGCACACTAAACCCTACTTCCTTGGACCTTGCTCTAATCTAGCCACAAGTCTCTCTGTGTTGTGATGGTTCCTAAAAGGGTCATAAACATTATTTAAAGAAAGTTGTGATATGAAACAACATGATGCTCTTATCGTGCTGTTCCATTTTAAACCACTCAACTAATTTTTCTCCACTGCAACAGCTGACAGTGCGGTTCTTTGTACATGACCTGGATAAAACTTGCACACACTGATGCAAGAATAATGTACTTTCCCCATAACATGCCTGTGTCACTGATGTTGTCCTTCCAGTAAATAAAACAGTTTATTTGTCTTTGAAAACTGTGCCAGCTCTGCCTACATACACAACTGAAACATTACCAAGGCTATTAGTGGTTATTTTACAACTAAAATAAGACAGCAGTGGTAAACTGTATATATGTCAGATCTAAACCTAACATACTTATACTACTTCAGTATATCCTTGTTGTGATCAATGTGGACCTTAACCTGTCTTTACTCTATCACCAGCACTTTCCTTCAAATGGCATACAGTCAGAATAAGAATTCTTTTTAGTATTACTGATGACAGATGATTCAAACATTTCAAAAATTATAAAGCTTGAACTGGAAACTGACTGCTCTCAAGAGTACAGGCTTGCAAAATTAATCATCACTACTATAAAGAATCCATTCAAATCATAAATCTAGCAAGCTTTGTAATGTAAAAGGTTTGTAATAAACCCTACCCCCATGAAGACTCAAAGTTGGGGTTTTTGTCAAAGGTTCTTGAGAGCGCTGTTGATTAAAGGGATGAGGGAATCCCCTTTTATTACATCTTACCAAAACGGTCTAATACTGAGCAACCGACCTTATCGCTGGAGTTTATTCATACTTGAGCTCATTTTCCAACGACATAAAGAAGATCATTCTCCTGTTCAACTGGTCTGTATCCTTTTCAATTGGAGCAACAAATATTTCCAGTTATTAAAGTATTTAAGCGCAATTTATGACAGTATGTTTGCACTGAAGCACCGCAGCAATTTCCTAATGTTGTAAACCTGCTCAACATTTGGCAATAAAACCCTTTCTGATTCTGATTCTGATTCCCGTTTACTGATAAAAATCAGAGTAAGCTGTTACAAATGCCTTTTCAGGGAGGACACAAATTTAGATTAAGATAATGGTTGATTTATTTTTTGTACCTTGCATTTATATGTGTTGAATGCTGCGAGCTCTTGCAAGCATTAAATAAAGCAACCTGTTCTTAGTGGTTTTCATTCAAAGGTTTCCCAGGAGCCTCTCCTTGGTGATCTAAAAGCAGTATATGATTACTGTCTAAAAACCTTCAGCAAATAAAATCTGTTACAATATGGAAGGAGCTGCCAGACATTTTCACTAAAGTACTGATTTAAAAGAGGCAGGGGAGACTTTGGAAGAAGGCAGTAAGCAGCTGGACAAATCCCCATTGTTTGAGTCTTTAGACTAGTTAGACATGCTATTCACACCAATTTAAAGTGAGTTCTGTACTGGGGTGCCAGGAATATGTCATGCAATACAATTAAGCCGTTTCCAACATGACAATGAGTTCAGTCTACAGGCCTCTATAATAATTAGCCTTATCAAAGACAGTCTGTAATGAGGAACTGTACGACACACTAATGTAAGCCTTAAATCGGTTTAGAGACTGTGTTCTTGTTGTGTAGTTTGCACTCAAGATAGACGTATCTTGAGCTATGTATTTATTTACATAAATAAATACATTTTACAGCTTGTGTATTTAAGCTATAACTCCAGTAACAGGGAGGTTAGTGGAGTTAACTAAGAATAAACTAAAATACAAAACGAAATGAGCAAGACTAACAGAAATAAAGACAAGAATTATGAGAAAAATGGGAAGTAACAACATCACAACACACTTGATGAGACATGCATTTGTGTCCTGGTGAGACTTGGGATTACTGTTCTATATGATCATCAATCAAGTGCCATTAAAAATTGCATTATTCTTAAGTTCTAAAATACATGCTCCTAATGAATAGTCTCTATATCCTAATAATGGCAAAAAATAAATAAATAAATAAATAAAACTAAGAAAGAAAGTAATAAAAACGAAACTAAAACTACAAGCTTGTAGACCATAAAGACAAAACTGAAATATGCTAAATCCTCATTGGGTGCTAACTGAAAAAAAGCAAATTCCTAAGATAAAGCTCAGAGGTAAGAAGGAAAAACAAGTAAGAGTATAGAAAACTAATAATTCTAGGATGCAGCTCCCCAGTGAATTAGTTCCTGAACACCCAAAGTTTAACAAAATAGAGAAATCATACTATACATGTTTGTATGCTCCCTATCTCCTCCTATACGAGTGAACCAATCTTGATGAGACATTGTGAGTGCCAACGCATATATGGCATATACAAACATTTTATACAACTCCACAATCGAATATGTTTGTACAGTTCAGTTTAATAGACAATTTGACTGTACACCGAATGGAATGTCATAGCATAGAAGCAATGTCATATTGAAGGAACGTTATAGTAAGGTGTAGAATGTCGTAGTATAGAATGGATTGTCATAGTATAGAAAGGAATTTCATAGAATGAAATGTCATATTGAACAGAACATTACAGTAAGGTGTGGAATATCGTGGTATAGAATGGAATGTCATAGTAAAGATTGGAATGTTGTGTTATAGAATGGAATGCCAGATTAGAATGCCATGTCCCAGTATATAATGTATTATAGCATAATACTTTAATGATGTACGTAGGTATATAATCTGGTAATAAAGGGTTAAACTAGTTATAAATAAATGTAAACTGTTGACATCGCTGAGTTGACATCGCTTTATTCACGTCAACAAACATGCAAAGCTCTGCAGAGGGGGTCTTCATGAAGGTCAGCTTTTTCCTGAAGGTCTGTAAAAGTGCTGCCTCTTCAGGTTTTCAAAACTCGAATTACTGGTTGATAACGGACTGCTGATGGCAGATGGGCACAGCAGTACATATAGGCTGTAATAAAATCCTGATCCAAATCAATGATCATTAGAGTCTTTTTCTTTACACGGGCATGTTTGATAAACTGAGAGTGGACTGCAGTGAAAATCTAACTAAATGGATTTTCTTAGTAAGTTTCTTGTGTGCAGCCGTTTCTATATTTACCACGTAAACACAAGTATGGCAGGCACATGCTCAGCAAAAACTTTCTGTAAAAAAGCAAAGTTTAGCAAGTCTGACTGCCACACACCAACTGATGAAGCTCGACTAGCTAAGTTACTGCGCTAACCATAAGCACGATTAAATTCATAGCAACAATGACTCCTCTCAGCATCACCCGCACACACGCTCGCACTTACTCTCCTTCCTTTAGGTTACGGCTGCTTCAGCTTCCCTTCCGTCCGCTCGGGTCTGCGGGTCGGCGTGTAGTCCAGTGCTGGGTCAACTTCGCGCTACAGCTAAGCTACGACGGCTCCAGAATGTTCACCATAGCTGTCAATAAAAGTACCCGCTGCTTCGTTATTTTCTCCCTCAAACGCCATCCTGTTGGTCTTTACATATTTCCCTGCGACTGCTTCGTATTACTCTCCACACTAACTACACTGTTGGTCAGCTCTCCGTATTTTCTTTTTTTTAACCCGACATGTTTGCTTTAAGGTCAAATAGAGCACGGACTGAAACCTCCACCGTAGAAACCTCCTGTTATGTGCGGACACACTGATACAGCGACAGATTATGGAGGTTTGAGGGCGGAGCAGAATGCCCCTTTTTTTCTGTTTAAGCTCGCTTCTGGCTCTCTGCCCTCGCCCTAGCTCCTTCCGCGTTTGACGTAGAAAAAATAAAAATAAAAACGATGTTGATATATCAGCCATCAGCAACAGTGTTTACTTTTGGCCCCTTTACAGGTCTACTTCGCTTCAGTTCATATGAAAATACTGTGGGCTACTTTTCCTTGAACACATTTTTATAGCTTTGACCTTTTTTAAGGTCATGAGCCTAAAAATCCCTCCCAGCCACGACATTAAAATGTTTTTACTCATTTAATCATTATAGATCGATGGTGTTCAGTAAAATAAACGGCATTCTCCATGATGAGCGCCACTCTGGTCATGTATGGAGGACCAAAGCGTCAAAATAATAATTTAAAAAAAAATCAGAAAATGTATAAATGCCCTTGCTGGATGAGCCTAATATCCAGTTAAATCAAACAACTATAGAAAATATGTATCTGTATATTTTTAATTAATTAAAAATAATTATTTTTTATTATTTTTTATTTATTTATTATATTAATGTTATTTATTTTAATTGTCATAAACAGGATGTGACAAGTGATAATAATAACAACTGCACTGCATTAAAACATTCACCGGTCTCCGGTCTTTAAATGATGACTTATGAACCCTGCTTCTGAGTCCAAACTACTCTTCGTTTATTAAGGCTGTTGTGTTTTTAACATGTTTTAAAGCTTTGTATCTTCTTCTATTTAATCTGAACAAGCCCCTAAAAACAGTCGGTGATCACTGTCGGCCTCTCTCGGTTTTCATTACCACTGTTTTTTTTAAAGCTCAGTTTTTAAAACCTTACGATGTAACTACAGCTCAGCCCATGCAGCAGTATATTAATGACTGTGTTGCCACCACATAGCCCTACAAACGCCATTGCTGTTTAGTTTCCTGTCTTCATTTATGTCGGAAGTGATAGCAGAGCTGTACATTTAAAATTTTCAGAAATCCCTCAAAAAGAACATGGTATATTATTTACGGTAATCTTAAAAATTTGGGGGGAGTCCTCCCACGTACCATTAGAGGGAACCCATGTGGTACACATACCACAGTTTGAGAACCACTGCTTTATTAGATTTATTGGCACTGCAAATTTTGCTAAATTTTATTCAGTATACTGGGGGCAGTGATATAAGAGAGAGACTTCAGCTACAAAAGCTTGCATAGTCACATTATTTTTTTAGCTAAATGACACATTGTTTTCTAATCCATGTCTAATTCGCCTTTTTTTTTTCCCTGTCACTTGTGCTGCTGCAACAAATTCATTTCCCCAGTGTGAGTTTAAATAAAGTCCATGTCTATGTCTAAATCAACATGGTTACATAAATAAAAGTGCAAGGAAATATTTCTCTACACCACAAAGTTGACTGAAATAACCACGGGATGAGTGGTGACCTAAAAACCACAGGTGACAGGAACTTTGGGAAGATTTGGTCAAACAGAAAGCAATAACCTTGTTGCGTCTCACTTTTTGGCCCATTTGCAACAGGGAAACATATGTATACGTAAAATTCAAATTCTACCTGATTGAACAAAATGTTCTGTGATGAATGGTTGATATTACAAAGACATTCTGTTACCAAAAAAAGAGAGATGTCTCTCCAAGATTCTGTTTTGGATTAAATCCTTTCTTTTTCTCATCTCCTTTGGAACACTTTAAAAGTTCCAAAATATTATCCTCTGGCACAAATTGGAGCAGTGTAGCAACCATTCAGATTTATTAGCTCTTTAGACCTGACCCTGCCACTGATGATCCTCACATGCTTTTTCTTTGAGTTAATTCAATAAATACACATTTTGTGTGCAGCCCCAAATCCACGCCTTGAGGTGGTTCGCATAGATCAGCAACTTCAATCTATTTCCATCATATGACCACTGGAATGCAAAACTCTGTCCACACATTATTAAAAAAAGTCAAATGCATTTCACAGCTGACCACACAATTTATCTATATTTTTCAAGATATATAGAGATACATTTTGTGCTAAAATATAGAAGAATGTGTTCAAAATAAACTTGCAAAACAAACAAGACAATCTTCATATTGGGTCTTCAAGCTTGTGCATTATACAAACAGATGATGATGATAGAACATGTTTATGTACTATGACTGTAAAAGCTCTTCATTTATATAAGTGGAGTTTTCTGCCTTAAAGGGTTTCTATTGTGCTAATTCTCAAGTTAATCTCTGCTCAAAGTTTATCTTACACTGTTTGAAACAAGGTGTTTTAGCACCTTTTACTTTAAGGCCACCCTGCCTTTAAGACAGATTTTCTTCTAATTGCCTAACCCGGGCAAAAAGAAGGTTTGAATACACACAAAAAAAATTTAATATCTGACTTTACATAAATTAATTACATGTTAATTTTCCATGTAATTTCGTAACATAAGTACAATTTAAAATTTAATGGAATTTGATCGAATGAAATTGATTAAAACTTGATTAGAATGCATTCAGTTTATACCAATCATATTTCTCTTTATGATTGATTATTGAAATACATAAACCCTTGATAGTGTGTATTTCAGTTGCAGTTTACTCTAAATCATTGCTTTTTTTTTCAAAGGTAAAGAATAGTTCTTTGACGTGCAGAAGGTGGGAGGGTCTTCCGTGCACAAGGCCAGAGCTCTACGTTTGAGGTGACCAAACTGAGAAAATATTACAGAAAATAAAAAAAGCATGATAAGTCTGCTGCACATTACAATTTGAGTCCACCTGTTCAATTTGCTCCAAGGCTGCAAGTGGTGGGACAGTGAATACCAGTGAATACCAACACAGCCCATTAAAACTGTTTTGTTTTTTTAAGTAAACCAAATGTGTTTAATTTCAAGGTCCCGACCATGTAAAGCTTTTACTTCTAGGTATGTACACTGAGAAGTCAAGGAGGACATGAACCAAGTGTGTTTGTGTTTTGCTTGAGATCATCGCAGAACAACAAATCTTATATATAACACACACAATATGTGTATCATAATATATATATTATATATATAAAGCTGAACTAAAAGCACTGAAGGGGTTAATTACTTCATGCCCTCTTGCATAACGTGGATACGCACGCAGGCACCCACACACACACTGCTGCCACAAGCCTCCTCAGCAAAGAGCCACTGCAAGTCAGGATGCCTGTTTCTTTACCGAAATAAATCCTTCCACATCTGCAGAGCGTTAATTAAACCTCAGGAACGCCAGAACCCGTAAGGAGATCAGGTGAATAGAGAGGCCAGTGTTTCCTCAAAGTTATTTGGGGTTCTCATCCAAGCAAAGCATCCTTCCTCACCCAGGAACCGTTACCACGGCATGAGGCTGCAGTACAAGGTGGGGCTGGATCGCTAGATATTGATTTGACTGATTATGACATGTTTGAATTTGCCAGTAAATCATGTTATTTAGGGCTAATGTTATGGTATCTCCAACAATGCCAAAACTTTTACAGTGTTTAAATGTCACACATGCAGTATACTCACTCCTACACAGGGCCCAAAACCTATTTGAAAAATGAAAATGAAAACATGGTTGTTATCCACATTTTGGAGCCTTTTAATAAACATGAAAAATTAGGGTAATCTATGCAGCTCACACTTGCATGCATATGATAACAGAACTATGCTCTTACTATAGACAGACCATCATGCCAGGCTGTTCTGAGACTCTGCAGTTTAGTTTGCCCAACCACGGGGACTCCATCCTCAGCAAAATGAATGATCTTAGAGAAGAGCATCGCTTTTGTGACATCACGCTCATCTTGGGCAGGCCACAGGACTCTACTGTCCATCCTCTCCAGTTCCAAGGTCACAGAGTGGTGCTTGCAGCATCCTCAGACTTCCTGCGTGATCAGTTCCTGCTTCACAAAGGCCGATCAGAGCTGAGTGTGGCTGTTGTTTCCAACGTGAAGGTTGCCAAGACACTACTCCTGTCCTGCTACACAGGGTTCCTAGAGGTGCAAGATCTAGTGTTTCTGTAATCACAGAGCTGAATATGGCCATATATCAAAAGTCTTTTGAGCTGAGGTGTTTGTTTTACTGTATAATCATTCATTTCTGTACTATAATGAAAGGTTCTAGATATAGTTTTATAATAGATCCATATTTAAAGTGAGCAAGAGGAATATTATTTTAAAGGGGAACCTATTGTACAAATTTTTCAATCCATATTTTTATTCTTACATTCTATTATAGTAGCTCTGCATGACTCACGGTCTCAGAAGCTCACAAAGAAGTATAATAAGTCCTCTTTTTCTTACGGTTGGTGCTGTTTCTTTAATATTCATTTTTGCTTCATCCATTGCTGGTATGCAGGTCCCTCAGAGAGAACTCGTGAGCTACTTGACTGCAGCCAGTGTACTCCAGATGAGCCAGGTGGTGGAGAAGTGTGTCCAGGCTATTTCACAGTACCTCAGTCCCACCACGCCTTTCTTGAATCTGACTAGACTCTCAGAGGAGAAGGAAACCCAACAGCTCAGCAGCAGGTGGCTTGGTTCCAGCTTTGATAATCCGAAGGAAAGGGATGCAGCCCTGCCCGACGCTATCATCCACAAAACAAATAGCAAGGAAGTTGGAACAGTCGTGGTAAACCCCAGGTTGACAGCCGGCCAAGAAGCTAAGGTGGATACTATAGGACTGAGAAAACCCAGAGAAGCCAAAATCGACTTATCTCAAGATGCAGAATGTTGCCTTGACATGCTGAAGTTGGGCAAAGAAGGAGATGCTCTGCCATGTTACACAAGCAACCCATTATCTCATGCTCCTCACACTGCAGGTAATCCACACCCTTCTGCAGTTTTACATGACCTAATGTCTTCCACAGCCACCATGATCAGTTCTGCAGCTGACACAGAACTGGTAAATAGTTCCAAAAACCAACACGAACAAGATGTTAAAGATTCACCAAAAGAGGAAAAGAAGTACATGCCAAAGGCAAATCAACTGCAACAAAGTGGAAAGCTAGGGAACTCTAGTCTTTTTTGCCACCCTAAAACACCTCTGTCCAAGATTCATTTTGCTGCAGATAACTCGGATACAGTAGTGTTCCAAAAGCCATACCTATGCAGAAAGTGTGACAAAGTCTTTCAGCACTTTGAGAGCTATGTGGGCCACCTGAAGGAACACAGACAGTATTTCTGTTTGGTCTGTGGAAAAGTCTTTTCTCAGAAGAATAATCTGACTCACATTGGTATCCACACTGGTTTTAAGCCTTTCAGATGCCCTCTGTGCCACATGACATTTACCCAGAAGGCCATGCTGCAACACCACTTCAATCTCCATACATGGGAGGAAGCCCCTTGAGCATACATTGTTGTGCTTACAGCACCAAATACCAGGCCTCTGGTGCCACCTAAGGGAGAGTTATGGCAACAGTTAGCTGCAAAATGTGAGTTTGCCATTAAAATAGAAGATTTAGCATAGTTATTTAATTATTGCTTACGACCTGGAGGTCCAAAAATTAAATGAAGAAATACATACATCACAATAGAAAATGTTGTTAAATGCACAAAAATACAATTGAAACTAATTGCACGGTTGCACAAATTATAGTTACTTATATTTTTCATTGTTATTGTTATTATGTTTTTATTTATTTTTTTTTTTTATCTCTGTCCATTATTATTATCTTCCCTGCTCATTTACAACCCCAATTCCAAAAAAGTTAGAATGCTGTGGAAAATGCAACCAAAAGCAGAATGCAATTATTTAAAAAACAAAACAGGTTTTTTGTTTGTAGAAACACAAAGAAGGCCCAGGACTGTCAAGTAGCTAGAAGCCAATTAGACAACAATGGGGCATCATCTCTCTCTTAAAAGTTAATCAACTAGTTTCCTCAGTTCCCAAATGTTTATGGGCTGTTTTTAAAAAGAAGAGGGGGCTCTACACAGCAGTAAATATGACCCTCTCCCTAACTGTTTTGAGATGAATTCACTGCCATCCAATTCAAAATGTCCTCGGGCATTTTCTCAGTTTAAACATTATGATATGATATGTTTTCTGCATTATATGGTGAATACAATGTGGGTTTCTGGAAAATGCAAATCATTGCATTCTGCCTTTTATTGCAACAAAATTATTCAATTGCAACAAACTGAAGAGCAAACTTGGAGCAAATAAAAGTCTTTACTGTTCTGAAAAACATGAGTAGAGTGAGCTCACAGAAAAGCAACTGCTTCACCATTTGACCCTCTAGAAATTGTGTACAGCTCACTGAGCATGACTCGGCAAGTGGGCATGCTCCATCCCTTCCCTACACACGTCTGCTTTTATCCCTCAGCTATCCTTTTGGCCCAGAAATGTCATTGTCACTCATCTTACTGAATGGAACACTAGCCAGTGGGCGCCTCAGATGCCACTGGCACTGTGTGCAGACAAACAGTGAATGCATGGCTTTGGTGTAGGTATTCAGTTTAGAAATTCATGCAAATGTGCGTTTGTGTGTGACCAAGGAAGACAGAGAATGTACATAAATATAGCTGAAGATAAAATTAAGCAAGCATTGATCTACCTATTTGCACTTGCATAAAGCAACTTAGTCCGAAAAAACATCAACATAAAGAAGTAATCTTGTGAGTTATAGGTCAAAAACAGAAAGCGAACATAAGGAAAACATCTTAAAGTGTAATAACATGAATAGTCATGTGATTGTTTCACTGAGAAGGGATTGAAATTCTCTTCAACAGCAATCAGTGCTGCTTCCATGAACTAGGTCAGAATTTATACAGGCATGTGTGTTTGCACACACCACTGCACACATAAATAAAATCCATGTATGTAAGGTTTTGGAGCACATCCATTATGGATGAGATGCTAAGAGAGAAACAGCAGGGAGGATGAAGACAACGAGGAAGATGGATGAGTAGTGGCAGAGATATTGATGGAGAGTAATTATATTAAGGAAAAGTAGCTTCTTTGGTCTTATAATTAAAATTATACAGGATCCATATGTGGCTCAAGAGTTGGGAGTTTGCCTTGTAATCGGAAGGTTGCCCGTTCGAGCCCCGTCCTTGGGCAAGACACTTCACTCGTTGCCTACTGGTGATGGTCAGAGGGCCCGGTGGCACCAGTGTCCAGCAGCCTCGCCTCTGTCAGTGCGCTACAGGGTGGCTGTGGCTACAATGTAGCTTGTCATCACCAGTGTGGGAATGGGTGGATGACTGGTTGTGTAAAGCACTTTGGGGTCCTTAGGACTAGTAAAGCGCTATACAAATATAGGCCATTTACATATCCAAGACTGACTTGGGAAAAAATGGTTTTTATATTCCTGTGCCCACATTATGACCAGATGTCAAGTTAAGCTACAAGGAAAGAGCAATAAAAAGCATCGAGGAAGCGTCTAGCACTTTAGAATGGCAATGGCAATGTTTACCATGTTAACTGTTTTTGCAGTCACTTACATACTTGGAAAATCTGTTGCAGATTACAGAAAAATATGATTTCTGGATATAATTCATCATCTGGGGATGATTTGGATATTTGTACCACGATGAATTAGATGCAGATTCAATAGATGTCAAAAAAATTCACAACAAACTCAAAGGATCATGATCATGCCAGAGGATCATGAAAACTGGATTTGGATTCCATATCCTGGAGACAATAAATGTTTGCTTGTGTATTTGATTATGGACCATTCCTAGAGTTAATAGGGTTGATTTTTGCATAGGAAAATATTATATTACCGTAAATAAATATTTAATATAATATCTGAATGAGATTATGTTGTTGGAGTAATTGGCAGGACAGTAGCCAAGAAAGCAGAGAAAGAGCAAGGGGGAATGACATGCAGAAAATAGTTGAACCCAGTGGCCTTTCAGCATGTGGGTCACCTGCCTAGTCAAGTAAGCTACTGTGTAGCAGCACCCTGTGAATGGTGTACTTTGCACTAAAATACACCTTTAACAAAACTTTACCCTTTTTCTAAAGCTTCATATGAGTTTGAACATGCTTATATGAAGCTTTGTTTTCAAGTAGTACTGAATAAGGTGGCATTGTGCTGTGACAGAACTGGGGAGAAAGAGCCGAGAGGAAGAGATAGAATGTTCACCGTATTCTGAGGTAGGATTATGGCTTAAGTGCATTTGATTACAGCTGTATCAAAACTGACCTCACTGTGAACACAGTTTCATTACGGAGGAGCTATTTTGTGTGTGTCAACAGAAAACTGGGAGAAATAAGTAGATATTGCTTTCATCAGACTTGGACTCGCCTCTGTGCTGCTCGGTGAGGCATGTGATATTGCATTCGTTATTTTACTGCAGAGACCAAGGAAATGTGTGCTTTGTCTGATAGACTCTAGTTTGTTCATGTAAACTATGTGTCTTTCTCACGTATAAAAGTCTGCCATGCTTTGACTGACAGCTTTTCAGTTGTATTTTCTTCCCTTAAGTATTATTATTAAAGAACACTGCATACATTTTCATTTCTATGTCAGTGGCACCAAAATTTATTTATACAATTGTGCCTTCTGTGGCTTCAAATGACACAATTCAAATAAAATTGTAGCTATAAAAGCTTTGATGTGAAATTTTGTACTTCTAATTTCAGTTTTGGACCGAAATCTCAAAAATATTTTGTATTATAAGATACTTATTCTTGCCTCCAGCAACACTGTGGGGAATTTTTGACCAAGATATGTCCTTTAACTCATCCATTACACAAATATTCAGGTAGCTTCCTTCATCTGCGCAATAACACTAAGATTATAACCATCCTGTTTGTGATGCTGGAAAACCGTCAATACATTTGTTACCTCTGCTGGACTATTGTAAGTTATTATCAGGCTGTTTTGAAAGTTTTCTAAAAAGCCTTCAGTTGACCCAAAATGCCACAGTGAGAGTACTAACACAGACTTGTGTGAGATAATATTTCTTCTTTATTAGATTATCTTTATTGGCTCCCCGTTAAATTCAGAATTGAATTAGAAAACCTTCTCATAAACAAAAGTCTTGAGTGAAATCCTAAACACGTCCTAGTAATATATTATCCCAACAGAGCTCTTCACTCTCAGACTACAGACTTACTTGTGGTTCCTAAAGTTTCTAAATGCAGAATGAGAAGCAGAGCCTTCAGCTATCAGGACCCTTTACTATGAAACCAGCTCCCAGTTTGGGTTCAGGATGCAGACATCCTCTCTACTAATCTACTCTCTAGATTAGGTTTAAAACTTTCCTTATTGATAATTTGTGTAGTTATGATTGCAACAGGTAACACAGATGCCATTATTACATATTATGAATGGTTGTCTTCTTTATTGTTGCTCTGTGGTTACCCCTACAAAAGTCTGATGCCTGCAGCAGCATCCTGTTGAAAGGGAGTTCTTCCTCCACACTGCCCCCAAGTGGTTGCTCACAGAGGTTTTTCTCTAATTCTGTAGGATCCTTACCTTACAGTATGATGAACTCTGAGAAGGCTGTTTCTGTGAACTCGTGCTATAAAAATAAGGTAAATTGGCAACAAGTCAATAACATGACCGAAGGGTGGCTGGTTCTTCTATTAGAAATAGCATGAGGAGTTGAGTCATTTGCGAAGGGCAAAAAGTAGACCCCCTCTCCTTTACATCGAAGGGCCACTTGAGATGGTTTAGGCATCTGACTACGATGCCCCCTGGGCACCTCCTGGGTGGGGTGTTGCAGACATGTCCCACTGTGTGGAAGCCCCATGGCAGACCCATGACATGCTGGAGAGATTACATCTCTCAACTGGCCTGAGTGGATATAAAGCCATTTTTTATTTTACCTTTCACTTTCTGAAGTCTTTGTGGTCATGCAAAGTCCTGCAAATCTCAAAATAAAAAAACAGCCGAATTTTATCTTCTTATAGTTGAAAGAACCCTAATTGAGACTTAAACTGTAGAATACATTCAAAACTATCATGTTACTATTATCCTGAAAACTGTGGCAGTTACTGTTTGTTTTATTATGGTTCAAATTGAATGTAAGATGTTAAACATTATGTTGTTCCTTTATTGTGGTTTATATAAAAAAATATTACTGTTCAAGGTAGATTTGAACAGGTCCAAAGACGTCTTTGAGGAAACATCCATAGCCTCAGTGCACCACTTATATTGTTAGACATCAAACATGTAACACGTGCTGGAAAGATTTTTGCTTCTCATAACAGCATGATTGTAATATTTACTGTAAAAGGTTTTAGCTTACAGAAATTCATACATCAAGGGCTTTTGGGGCACAAGAAGAAAATTTGATTCTGTATGTAAGATAACATGTTTACAGCTCAAAAAGTGTTTTGGAACAGATTTAGCCTTCCAGTATGAATCATAATGAGTAGGCTCACGTCTCCTGCAGTGAACAGCAGCTCACTGAGGGAAAAGCCTGAGTTATTACAAAAGTGTGATTCAGATATAAACAATGACAATAATGTGACAAGCGTGCAAATTTCGACTAAAAATCAAGGCTAAACTCATTAAAGACCAGGATTACAGTCATCATGACTTTAGTCACTAGTAACTTGTTTTACTGATCACTAAAGTCTGTAAATGCGCTCACACATGACTGCTATTTCGTAAACAGCAAAAATGTAGAATGAATGGATCATTAAATATATACATAATATATATAATAATATAGAAATATATTCACCCAGACCTACAGGTATTATCCAAATGTCTAAGAGAAGCTTTTCAGCGTTGTTAAACACGGCTGTGGGCTTGAAAACATTTCATAAAGTGGTAAAGGCAATTAAGTTTAAACATTTTTCCGCTACTCCACAGCTTCGAACATGGTTGCAACAGCATGCGGGAACTGCTTGTGTTTTCGTGTGTGAACTTCCTCTTCGCAGACGCACTTGTCGATGCGTATCCTCTACTACCCTGCTTCTCGGTCTGTTCCTTTAAATGCTCACAGCCCACGCCTCGAAAAGCGGCTTGTTCCGGCTTGCCCCTTTACATCTTTTTATCCTTGCTCACAACATTAAACTAGTGCCATCCTCATTACACCGCTCCCCTGACCCTTACGCACCAGCCTTTGAAGCCGAACCGCGGTGCAGTTAGTAAATCATATCTGGGGAGGAGCGTGCCCCTCTCTGTCCGTGCAGCTCGGTGCTGAGTCCGATGATGAGGGCCAGTTCGGGAACCATCACTGGCGGAGCAATACCACCATCTCCTCGTTTCAGCTTCGGTTTGTCAAGCAGAGGGCGTGTGGCTCGCCGTACCTGAGAGGAGCGAGCGTCTCTTGTCACGTATTCTGCGAAAGGGGGGCAGAGGATTAAAAGCGGACCAAGGCACCTGTCTCTACTGCTCTGGGATGCCGTGCCGTGTCAGTGTCGCATTAGAAATAATGTTTCCCCTGCGCTTGTTTTGCAACTGATGAAGAATAATTTTGAAGGCATGTTCACGTGGATGGCTATGAATATGTTTATTCCGGTGTTCTGGTGTAACGCGTGAGGTAAGTGACTTATCCAGAGGTGCGCGCTACTTTCTCCCGCTGCTCAGATTTTTCTGCAGAGCTTTGACATCTTGGGGTTGTTTACATGTTTTTGTTTAGGGTTTTTTTTTTATTCCCCCATCGTTTGCAAATAAGAGCTTGTATCGTGGCTCATGATCTAAAAAAAAAAGCAATGTCTATAATAACCATCGTGCTCCTAGCGCATTAATTTCTAGATTTGAATTGGCACTGGTGTTATATTAAAAGAAGGTGGGCTGTAGTTGAAATGAAGTGACAGCAATTAAGTGAGCTGGGAATACAAACGAGGGGCTTTTCTGGAAAGAGTTGAGGCACTCAGTGGCAATATGTGAAGCGATATGAAAGTAGATGTGCTGCTGTAATGGTGGAGACTGCTTAATGTTGGCTCCAGTGCGCGGAGATCGCTTCCAAGACAATGTGAAATTTATGGAGTAACATCGCTGTTGCTGAGAGAGTGACTTCTTGAGCCGTAGCAGAGCAGTTTCCAAGTTCAGGTGTTGCATATTATTTACCGCCGCTGTCATCTTAAAGTTTAAGCATGCAGCATGGCCGCCCTGCAGGGAAGGTTACTGTATAACCTGCTGATTTGCAACTGGAAGCAACCTTGTGTTCTAACATTATTAACCAAAGGTGCAGCAGCCCTCCCTCCACTTTACTGCAGACACAAGTCACAGGCAAAGTGAAACAGACTATGGTGCAGTGTGTATAATATATATGCTGTATAAAACAACCAGCAGCAGCTTTGTGAGATGTATGAGTGCCCTGCCTCCCATTTAGACACTACCCCCACACACTGTGATGACAGACATAATGAATAAATAATCACACAAGCCCACATACCCCCACAGTACACTGAAAAAAACAAGTGACATGACATGGTGAAACAAGTGATATGAAATGTAATGAACTCACGAGTACCATTGTCTTATCAGGGTTATCTTGGCACTGTTATGGCTTAGAGTTGCTAAGCTTTGACAACATTTAAAACGAGCTGTGTGGTAATTCCAGTGTATTGGTGCGACTTTATGTTATGGTTTTATATCGCAGGCTCGAAGTGCATCAGCGTTCTGTGCTCCCTGTGCAGCAGATTGGATTTTCTGTGCCCTTTGAGAGTCTTGCAAACAATTACCTGGCGCCATCATTTCTCAGTGTTAAAGTCTAACTTTCCCTTCATCCTTTATCTGCTGCTGACTGTCATTTGCATTTATTGTTTCCACTTCACAGAGGTGCTGCTACCTACTCAAATAGAAAGTTTTCATTCATATAAAAACTGTCACTGTGAAATGAGGTTTTCCGATTTGCGATTTTGAAGTATCCATTAAACTTTAAAATGTAAACACTGAAAGATGTTATTAAAATGTTATTGGCAGCAGTGTCGTGCGCGTAAAGTTTCAGCCTTGTTGTGCTTCGATGTTCCCACGAGGCTTGGATGGTAAAATTATGGTAAAATTATGGCTGTGATATTTGTGAGGTTGAATTTAACAGGTCATTGGCACGTTGGCGAAAAGTGTTAAAAGTCACGAGTATTTAGAAATATTTCAGCCTTTTTTAATATAATGTGTAGACATATTTCAGAGGCATTAAATATGAATAAACTGGAGCTGTGATGTGTTCATTACAAGTAAATTACGTTTCGGTGGAAAAAGTAGGGGAACCCAACAAACCCCCCACCCACCCAACTGCACTTTATTGTAAAACTCTTGAAAGCATTGATATGTTTTGCGAAAATGTCCTTGGCCTTCATAAGCAGCATTAACTAAGCATGTTTTTCAATGGCAGGAGGAACCGGAGGTCCCAGAGGAAACTGTGTACGGAGAAAACATGCAAACTCCACACAAAAAAAAGGCGTTGGGTTTTGAACCTTTGACCTTGAGCGACTGTGGTGCCTTATTCAGTAGCAGTCATAAAACACACACCCGCAGCATAGTGTATCAATACATAATTAGTGCTTTGTGGCTCTTCTGTGTTTTTTTCTTCTTCTCTGTTTACACAGATATTGTGATGAATCACAGGGGGGGTCTTGTCATGCTGGTATTGTATTGTGAATCCTCGATACAGGAAATGTGGATTGACAATAAAAGGGAATGTCAGGCATCCAAATACATTACGTCAGAATTTGGCTTAGAGACAGTTACAGTCTGAACGTCTTGGACTGCAAAGCCACAAGGAGGCCCTAAACTTATAGCTGTCACAGCCAATTTAAGATTGTATTGTCTAAGCACTGCATAACTGCTTAAAACATGTTTTCCTATTTCACTTTTACTATGCGATGTTGGCTTTAAAATTGTTTAGAAATACAAATATTTCCCTTTGTATGCCCCACGTTCTTTGCTTTCTTCATACACAGAAGTGTATGAAAAAGTAGTGCTGCCCCTGAAGGGTCTCTCTGGAGATACTGGGGGGGTGGAATAGAGGTAACTGTGCCACATCGCTCCGCTGGGCCTACAGAAATACTTAAGCGGGAGTCAGAGTTAAAACATCATGACCCAACACATTCAGGAATTGGTGGCGGCAACAGACGCACACGTAAGGTGTAAGGGCCGCATATCAAAATTCACCCATCCATTGTTACTACATGCCTGTTAGCTCTCACTCCAGCTATGACCTAATCCTGGTGGCTAGTGGGTGTGTTCTGCTTGGACTGAAGCCTCATTGGCTGTCTGCTGGATGATCCTTACTTCCGCTATTCCTTTCAAATGTGCTGCCATTTTCAGTAGCAGAAATTAGGTTTCAGTGTGTAGCGAAAACCTGTAACTGTAACAAGGACTTGAGCTGTGGCATGATATTTTCTAAGAGCTTCAACTGTGTTAACTCAGTCTTAGTCCAAGCATAAGTGATACCCATGTGATGAGCTAAATGTCACCCCGATGTAGAGTATTACTTCAAGTCCTGTAGAACACTCCCTAACAATCTTTGTCTGTGTGTGTGTCTCTCTGTGAGACATGCCAAAGGAAACTCCAGATGCCCCCCATCCCCCCCCCCGATACACACACACACACCCAGAGGGGGCCAAGCAAGGCCTCACAGCCAGATGATAGCTCGCCAACTGTTGGCTGTAAAGACACAATGTACTTCTCATCGTCAACTGAGTAGAGTGGGTAGCTCAGCAGCACCATGCGAGGAAAGCAAAAAACTGCTTTGGCCTTGTGTGTTTTAAATTTCACCAAGCTCGCTTATATTGACCCTCTTCTTTGTTCATGCTCTTCAGAATGTCTCATTCTCAAGTGAGAACTCGAGGCGCTTCTGCCACAGGCATCCCCGAAAGAATAAAAATTAAAAAAATCATTGCTCATAGGTTAATTTCCCTTTTTTAGTGTAATCAGAAAAGGAGAGGACCTCGATGAGGAAGTTGTGGTCTGCAGTAATGCACACCCACTTCTTTCTGTCACAAGACTGGAAGTATTCATGACTGTGTGGGCTTTGTGTCTGTTTGTATGTGCATGCTCTGCCTAAATGCAGCAGTGATGCACTCATGCAAGAAATAAAAATCTTGTGTCTATTATGACATTTTTTTTTTTTTTGCCACTCATGTGATGTGAGGTACTCATGCTTTTTTATTTTAATAGTGGTGTGATAGCGTAGGCTTGCATCGAGCAACCCGGGAAGTACTGCTGTACCTCGAGCACTCAGGCACAGTTGTAGCTGGGGCTTATTTGTGAAAAAAAAATGACGGGATAGCAGTTTGTCAGAACAGGAACAGGTGGCTGTCAACGTGACTACAGACAGTGAATCACGGTTAAACAGTTGCCCCCAGAGGCTACACCCCCCTTAATCTGCAAGGACTCACAGAAAGACATTATCCGGCTCACGCGCCGTGGTAAAACTCCCCACCTTCTTGGTTTTCCAAAAAGCCCCCAGAAGCCGGTTCATCACATGAGTGTTACCTCACTCTTTAGCAGGTTGTGGGCTACAAAATCTGTAACCGGTGTTATATTTGGGCTTCTCGCGGAAGGAAATATGACGCGCGAGGACAGAGCGGGGCTATCCACGCGGCCAAGCAGAGAGCGCTGCCGAGGCGAGTCGTGGGTCGTTCCGAAGGTGCGTATGTCTTGTTTTGCAGTAAATCTGGCAGGCTGCCATTTATGTGATTATGGCTGCATATGGATTTGCAGGACTTTTTGGGCATATTTGCTGTTTAACGCGGAGTGCAGCACGTGCGTAATGCGCACAGTTCCTCTTTTTTTTACCTCCTTCTGCTGCAAAGTTGCCATTGTTAACAGACTTGGTTTTCATAAAGCTTCCAAAAATAGTATTTAAAATAAAATTAGAAATGGTGTCTTTTTCTGGTTTTGGATAATAGTTCTCCATTAGTTTGATACATGCAGTACCTACACATGTAAACAAAAACCGGTCCAGCTCCCTCTAATCGTCGTCTTTTTTTCAGTTAGCGTGTGCGTGATAAAGTTATTTTATTGTATCTCTAAATCCGTTTGAGTGAGGGCACCAGCTGTTGTTATTTTAGTGAATATTGTACTTTGAGCAGATGCAACAGACTATGAATGCAACAGGCGCTCACCATTTGAAGGCAGTGTTAAACATTTTGTATAGTGGAGACGGAAGGATCATGTTGTGTTTGATTTTTTCCTTTTTGTGGTTATATTTTATGAAAGGTTTTGCGTTTGGTCAATAACCAGCTATGTATAGAAGCTTAGTCATGAGGCTTTTACACAGAATATTAGCACATTTGCATGTGTGCTTGTCAGTTGATTCTCTCTGTGTCAGCCCTGTGATTGACTGGCCACCTGTCCAGGGTGTAGCCCAACTCTACTTCCAAGACAGCTTGGCTCTGCTGACCCTGAGTTCAAAATGCAGCTGAGAAAATATATGAATGAATGGGTTTGGTCAACTGAATCATCTACTGACAAGATGTTTTTAATCATACTTTCAGATTAGTCATAACATCTCTATAATATACTAAGTATTTCATATATAAATAACATGCAATATAATACAGAAAAAACAAAAATAAAACCACAGCATTACTTTATCCCATAAACAAACATCCATTATAAATTCAAAAATAAACCTGATACTTTTCCTCCTCTCTCATGCTGTACACAGTGAGTGGCTAAGCCTGACTCTTCTAGTAAATCACAGCAGTATTTTATTAAAGCACTAATGTAATCTGGATGTTAATGTAGTAAAATAGAGTATCCCGGCATTATATCCTGCACATTTTGCCAAAGCGACTCAAATCTTGAAAGCGGCTTTTGGCTTATTTCCGATTATCTGTGCACATGATTTAAAATATATTGGAAAACGTATAATTACGTTTTGTAAAAATACAAAACAATGGATATTAAAACCAGTATTAATGATCTAGAATTGCTTTGGTTTAACTTTTCATGATACTCTGTGTGTGTTGGTGCAGTGTTGGGCTTTGAAATTGTCCTCACAATAAAAAAAAACATGATTCTGGTACTATTCAGCTCTATGTGCATAGCTGTCTGTGCACAACTGTCAGTGCTTATCAGTTATGTCCACACTCATGCACACTCAAGAGAAGGTACAGTATGTTATAAAAAGCAAACCAGGAAGACTCAGCATGGCTGATTTCAGTCTCACAATCATGTAAAACTTTTCTTTTGGCTTCTCTACTAATATACATTCTCAACTTTTGCACTCTCATAACAGGTTCACAAATAATGCTGTTAAATTCTCTTTCCTACTTGCTGTTGTTGTCATCGTCTGTTCCCACTTGTTGTTGCTTTTGTAATGAGATCGGTGAAATATAGACCTGGACTTGAAACTGTGTTCTCGCTGAGGAGGTGCCATTTATTGCAGTGTGTGTTTGGGGAACACACACCTACCCAGTGGCAGCTACTTCTTTTAGGAAGTTAAACAGTTTTATTGCCCTCATTGCAAATAATAAACGTATAACTTTTATGACATGTGAGGGGCTGCCTTTGTACTTTGCAAAATGCGTGGAACTGAAATACCTATCCAGTGTTCACATTTGCTGGGCTTCATGCACATCGGTCCAAATGATATTTGAGTTCAAATGAGATATATTAATTGATCCCTAAATAGCTAATTCACATCTTTACATCCTGTTCCTTACAGTCATCGTTGGCACTGGCAAGCAGGTGCTGTTGTCGGGGTCGTTGACATGCGTTCCACCTGAGCTCGGCATCGCCTGTCTCGGTGGTGTGGTGGCAGGATGCCAGTGCAGGCGGCCCAGTGGACAGAGTTCCTGTCCTGTCCCATCTGCTACAATGAGTTTGACAGCAGCGGCCACCAGCCCATCAGTCTGGGATGCTCCCACACGGTGTGTAAGACCTGCCTACACAAACTGCACCGCAAGGCCTGTCCCTTTGATCAGACGCCGATCAGCACCGACATCGACCTGCTGCCTGTCAACTGCGCCCTGCTGCAGCTGGTTGGCGCTCAGGTGAGGCAAAAAAGAGAGAACTCCTGTTTATGTGAGCGATTGTGACACTGTCACAGTGAGAAAAGCCTGAAGCTTTATGTGTTTATATATCTTCTGTGTTCATCCCTGGTATGATATCAGGTCCCAGATGTTCAACCCGTGAGTCTGAGCAGTGCAGCAGAGGTTAAACACTATGAGGTCTGCAGGATGTGTGTAGAAGAGCTGGCTCTCTACCTAAAGCCCATCAGTGGCTCAAAAGGTACTGTATGTGTGCTTTGTGTGGTACATTTGGGCAGTTGTGAAAAAGAATTAAGCTCCTTATATTCAGTGCGTGGGGACTGCAGTTGGGCTGCCTGTGTAACTTGGCATTGATGATTCTCACACTTCTCACGATGCTGGAAGCTTGTGTGCTTTTATAAGGCTGAAGGAACATTCATCTCTCTGCGGACTATACAAAAAGAAGATTTTATTACTGAAAAAGACTGATTCTTTGTTCATAGACTTCCGGTTTATGGGATTGGGGCAGTGTTCATCATTTTGCTCATAGGTGATCATATCTGGTTAAGAAGGAAAAGCAAGGGTTTGGTTGGAGGTTATTACATGCATAAGAACACTGACTGCTCAGCTGTTATTTTTGTGTAGGAGGATAAAGTTCTTCTTAATTTGTTTTTCTTCAGCTATTATTTAATTGAGACTAAATATCTGATGACTAAAGTGAATGCTTTCATTGTTATTTGGTTTTAGAAACAGTGGGTTTAACTCCGGAGCTGTCGCTTAATACAGGTGTGGCAAACCTGAGCCCGAGTGTGCTCAGTAGGCCCATGCAGAGGAAGCTGGTGACCTTGGTGAACTGCCAGCTGGTGGAGGAGGAGGGTCGCGTGCGGGCGGTTCGGGCAGGCCGGTCTCTGGGGGAAAGGACAGTCACCGAGCTCATCCTTCAGCACCAGAACCCCCAGCAGCTCTCTGCAAACCTCTGGGCTGCAGTGAGGGCACGGGGCTGCCAGTTTCTGGGACCCGGTAAGTGTGCATGACAGAAACATGTTAGTTATATCACATAGTGCCTCTATACTCATGCCTGTGAGGCAAAGCACTTTCTAATCACAGCTAAATTCCAACCATTTGCATAATGTATATGCATCATCACTGGAGTGCTGTAAGGTTGTCTTAAAAACTATCACTTATTAAACATTTGACACTCTGAAGTATTAAAGGTGGAAGCAGTGCAGTTAAAGAGTTTTCCTTAACATTAACGATTCATGCTGTTAGACTAGATTTGTGTCACCCTGTCATCTTTTATCAAGTCAGTGGACTCATTGTGTCCAGAACTGTTTAAATTGCTTCATCAAACTGCCTGCTGGTGCTGGAACCTGGTGTCCTGTGATGATTACTCATAGGGCAGATTCTGACTGGGAAAGATTTTCTCGTCATGATAACACAATGAGTTCATTTAAATCTGAGGACACCTCCAAAACCCTTTGTTTACTAGATATAGACTTGCCTTTGTTTAGTCTTTATGTAACCAGTGTTGAATATTCGAATATGTATAGCATGTGCATGCTGCCCATGTCACTGAGTGTGTTTGTGCTAAAAAGTTCTCTCTTTTCTCCCCACTTCCTCTTCATATACTGCTACTTTCATTCTGACTTCCCCCTTCATTACCACCTTTTTCCTATCCTGTCAATCTCTCAATCCTTGTACAACCCTCCAACTCGTCCTCCATCAGCTATGCAAGAAGATGCACTGAAGCTTGTCTTACTGGCTCTGGAGGACGGTTCAGCTCTGTCCAGGAAGGTGCTGGTTTTGTTTGTAGTCCAAAAGCTTGAAGCTCGATTCCCCCAGGCCTCCAAAACCAGCATAGGCCACGTCGTGCAGCTGCTCTACAGGGCTTCCTGCTTCAAGGTACAGGCAGTAGACGTATGCACACTTACAGGAATGTGTAAACATGCTGCAATGACAGGTTCTACATTTCAGTGAACTGAACAAGCAAACCACAGATCATTGAATTTGTTCTATGTCAAACGTTACAAAACCATCACCGTTTGGTGCTGTCCTAAGAACCCAAGCCACGATAAATGGCCTCATTAATGGAGGGGACCTAAATAGATTGTACATGTACGACCACAGGTTTCTTTTCTGATGAGGCGGTGCTTCAGATTAATATCCCCTTTTTGGCATTGGTTTTGTAGGTACTTTCCAGAACTTACATTCTCGTCAGTACAATGTTTTCCAAAAAAAAAAAAAAGTAAAATAACGATTCGTTTAAAATTAGTCATAGTGTCTGAGAAAGCTTTGCAAAACTCCCTTTCAGCTGTGGATGGATATGAAAATGAGCACAATCCAGTGGATTACAGTGTGAATCCTCTCCACTTAAATACTGGTACTAATAATTCATAAAAGGCCACTTCTTTATTAAGAAGATGGGCTTCTTTAAATATATTTTCGTGTGTGTGCGCATCTGTGTGCGCGCGTGTGTATTTTTATGCCTGTTATCTGATGACAGACATCGCTGGCAGGGCAGAAATGCCAGCTATCTGCTTGTGATGCAACGGCAGTTTATATTTGCACCTGTTGCCCCGCCTCGCAGGACAGACAGAGACATCACAGAGATACACAGAAAGATAAACGATGCAAAGATAGATAAAGGAGTAAAGACAAAACCTGATCGTGAAATTTGGTTGTGTTTTTATATTTGTAAACAGCTGACAGTGAGTGCGTTGGTGTCTTATGATGATTACTCATAGGGCAGATTCTGAGAAGGGGAGAGTCCCTTTGTGTGATCTGAATTTGAGTGTTTGAGTCTGAAGACACCACATGTTGACAAAGTGACGGCTCTGTTTGATTTACGAGACTAATTGCAAACACGACACTCAGCATTTGAGGTTTCACAGATAGAAATGTATTGTAATTTAAGGACAAGGAGAGTTAACAGGAATTTAAAACAGGCACACATTTTTCCAAAGAAGTCATGCAGGTGTGCATTATAACAACATGATTTAATTGCTGGTACAAAATTATCATAGTAGCCTTAATCATTCAATTTTCTGACCCCACAAAACGTCAATGGTGTTGATAACCTAAAATTGTGCCTCAGTTTTAAGTGCACTATTTATAATATACACAAGAGTACATGAAGCTTTATTTTGAAATCGTGTTAAAGTTTGATTTTTCTTTTTTTTTTTGTCTGTCTAATCGTATTGGAGACAAAGGTCATTTGTGTCCTTGTCTCTTCTTCTCACTCCCCTGTCTCTCATCCCCTCTCTCGCTCATCCATCTTCATCATCAGGTGACAAAGCGTGATGAGGACTCCTCCCTGATGCAGCTCAAGGAGGAGTTTCGCACATATGAGGCCCTGAGGAGGGAACATGACGCGCAGATCGTCCACATCGCAATGGAAGCGGGCCTGCGAATCTCACCTGAGCAGTGGTCCTCTCTGTTGTATGGAGACCTGGTCCACAAGTCACATATGCAGTCCATCATTGACAAGGTACCATTAGGCTTCGTGTCCTCACCTCTGGTGACCATGTGCAAGGTTGTGACAGCTTGAATTTGCTTTTTAAAATTTCAAGCAGTGTTTATAACTAGAGATGGCACGATACCACTTTTTTATGTCCGATACTGATATCACAAATTTGGATATCGGCCGATACCAATATGAATCTGATATAGTGTTTTTTAATCAATAAAACTGTTTTTTTAATATCTTGCTGCATTTTGTATAAGTTCATACTCAAGTTAAAAAAAACAAACAAACACTAAAGCTATTCTGTTATACCTGTATGCAAAAAATACACTGCACCCAAAATATTTCATAGTTCAGCAACACTGATCAATCTAATAAACTTAAACCTACTCCATCCTTCCTATTCTGGTATTTTAAAGAGTACTTAGCAGAAATATTAAGCAACCTAACTAATAGTATTCTAAAACTCCCAGCAAAAAAAATAAAAAAAATAAAATAGGGAACCACCCCCCAACCTCCACCTCATGATACTTAATTGACGTAATCAACTTTAATTTGATGCAGTGTGGAAAAAATGCACAGAAATCAATTATTTTTCAAGA